TGTGTGTGTGTGTATATCAGTTCGACCTACAGCTTTGGACAAGCTCTCCTCACAAACCCGGTCCGTTGCGCGGTCGCCTTGCCACCGTATATCGGGCTAGTATTCTACTATGCAGAGGCTGGGTCGACAGGATTTGGGATGTTGGCATCCTACCAAAAAAGGCTTGCTTAGGCTGAGGGGATTTGGAACAGGTTAAGCACATCCTCGCCGAGCACGATGCTGCAGCCTCAGCTGTTCGCGGTTGCTGCACATGGCCGCATGGGCCTAACACACAAACTTTGAGCCATCGGAAACCCGAAGCTCTAGGCATCTTGGTTTTTAACTCAGGACTTTAAGGCTTCGAGGGTAAACGAACCCGTGCAGAGCCCTCTTACTTCTTTACTCGCTTGGCGCGCTTCGGGTCTCCTGAAGCCCAGGTCCCAGTGATACTCCTCGGCGGGCTGCTGCTGGGCTTCCGGTCGTGGCCCACCTCAGAGTTCAGGGTTTAGGATTCAGAGTTCAGGGTTTGGGAGGTCGGAGAAGCCGCACAGATGTGCTCAGGTGTACATACTGGTATTTGCTTGTTGTTGCGAATGTATGTATTCATTTTCATGTGTTTACTCATGTACTTATTTGTTTGCGTAGATCCCTCTTCCAGGGAGCAGCACATTCCGGACCCGAACTCCGCTGCACGACTGTCCGTGTATCACCAGAGCATAGTACAACTGGGCTTCGAGTATTTTGTTTTAGCCTTCTGCTTCGGATTCTCCATACCTCTGATCTCACACTGTTGCTGTCGTAGCTGCAACCTCATCTGGCTGGTCCGATTTGTTTTGCGTATGACGACATGGGAAGGAGAAGCTAACAGGTTCAACTTCGAGGACTGCCCATGCTATGCCAAAGCAAGTCGGAAGGACCCATCCGAATACCCTCGTCTCAAGGGCTTGTACAAGGACCCTCCCTATTCTACCCTCAGATAGGAGTATACGTCCCAAATACTGGTATTTAGGTGTTAGAATAGCGGGTAGATGAAGGGTCTAGGTATGTGGCCGTAGATTCGCGGTAAACGTTTCGAACAGCTTTGCACCTGTCCAAGTTTGGATTTGGCCGGTGCTGCTTTACTCGAAGTGAGGTGCTGGACTTTGGAAACGAGATACTTAGACAGGATCAGAAAAAAAAAATATATATATATATATATTGA